CTCTTGTCGGATCTTTCTCTCTCTCTCCTTCTTTCCCCATCTCTTTTTCTTTTTCTCAGCTCCACTTTTCACCACCGTGGGCGTCATTCTCTAGCAAATTCTCTCCATGTGGTAGCAAAAACAGCCACTGACAGCAACTCTAGGCTTAGATCGTCCTTTGGGACATAATCTAAGAAAGAAAGAGAAATACTTCTCACCAGCCATAACAATTCTAGTTGCGACCTCTAATTTGCTCTATTTGGTTCACACATTCACCATTAATTTAATAAATATCCATTGAGTCTATATGCTTGGAAAATATCAGTGAATCCCCATGGAGTTTACAATATGCGGGGGACATAAGAGTCAAAAAATAAATAAACATAATAAGAAAATTAGGGAGTACTTTAGAATATAAAAAGCACCGTGGGGAATAAACATATATAAGTATTTTTTTAATTCACAAAAGCCCTATCTGATGAAGTTCTTGATGTTAGTTGTCCTTGAGCTGTTCCAATTCATGGTGAGCTTCCCATAGAACACAACAAAAAGTTGCCCAGCCTTGGGCCATCCTCATGATCTCTGGTGTATTTGAGCCCATTGTTTTAGCTATTGTGTCAAACCATCTCCTGGAGGGTTTCCGTTATTCGAACCACTCCCTTGCTATTCCCAGCATGATGTCCTTCTCCGGAGAGTTTCTTTCCTGATGCTGTAGCTATAGTAAGTTAGCCCAAGCCTGGTCCTTCTTCCTTCCGAGACACATGCTGTTTCTGTTTCTTCCGAGATGGATTTTCTGATTCTTCTGGCAGTCTATGGTATCATCAATGTTTTGTTTTGTTTGCCAACACCGCAGTTCAAATACACCAATTCTACTTCGGTAGGCTTTTATCTTACCCAGCATGTTGATGAGACAATTGAAAAGACGGTGGCTGGGTTCAGGCTCACCATCGTGTGACATATTGTGGTGGCTTGAGTATTCCCAACATGCTGAAGCTACACCCCTGGTCTGATAAATATCAGCAGGGTCAACCGGGATGAACAGGTTTCAGCAGAACGTCCAGACTGAGACTGGCTAGGAAGAAAGACTTGGTAATCTACTTCCAGAACCAACCCAATGGATCACAACCATATGGATCACAACAGGACACGGTCCAACTTGCACGCTTAGCATCATTAGGAGGGCTGAGTGACTGGAAGAAGGCAGTAGAGCAAAGGACACGTTCGGTGAAATGGAGTGGTGCAGCAGTTACGGTGATGCCCTCAAGCACGCCGGAGATTGTGAGCATGGCACAGCACTGGACAGTGTCGCATTCTCTGAACCATAAAATCACCTCAAGTCAGAGTCAACTCACTGGCAGCTGTTATCCCCCTGTGACTGTATACTGAAAGACTCAGCCTTATTACTTGCTGGCTGCTGGTTTCCATAAATCAAAATAGGAAAAGGTGTGCAGGTTTGGTGACTGGGGGTTGGGAGCAAGAAGAGGTCAGGGCTGTAATACAGGCGTTTAACAGCTATCATTTTCTTTCTTTCCTTTTTTTTTTTTTGCAGTAAGCCCTCTTAGATTGGAAATATGGTATGCTTATTTCAGAGCAAGGGAAGTTTGGAAATTTGATAGAAACCAATAGCATGAAGGAAAACATCCAGGCGTCCGGGGGGAGGTTGGGTGGGGTGGGCGAGGAAGTGAAAGGAAGCCAGGAGAGAGAGGCTGGCCAGATCCAGGGGGTCTGCACACCACCAGCAATCACATGCTAAGTCCCGTGTTCCTATGTTCTTTGGATGCCTTTGGTTCCTGACTGCTCTGACCCTTAGTCCAACGGGAACCCCTGCTCTAGGCCAGTGTCCTAGTTACCTGGTGCTACTACAAAGGAAATACCAAAGGTGGATTGCTTTAAGGAACAGACTTTTTTTTTTAATCTCTCAGTTCAGAAGACCAGAAGTCCAAAATCAAGACAAATGCTCTAGGGGAAGACTCTCATTGATTCTGGGGACAAGTCCGTGTCTCCGTATAATATCTGTGGTTCCAGTGATCCTTGGAGATCTCCATGTGTGTCTTGGCGTCAATCTTCCCTGGGGTCTAGAAAGTTCTCAGTACAGAGACACCATGTCTGCTCATGGCCTTTCTTTCTTAGTGGTCATGAAGTCCCTTTCTCTGCTCATTGCTCTATCTTTTGTCTCTTACGTGATAAAAGGAGATGCAGGCCACACTCTGTGGAAACTCCCCCTAGATCACTCCCCCTAGGGTGTTGCACCACACCCTAATCCCCTTATAATTAACTGGCTGATGACATAATTACATACCTGACAAATTACAAACCATTGACAAATTGGCCCCCACCAATTTGATACAGAAATTGCAGAGGAGGCCATTCAATCCACGACATTACACTCTCTGTCCTCCCAACCATATGTCCTTGCCTGCGCAAAACACATCCGTCCTGTCACATCATCCCCCAAATCTCAAATAAACTCCAAGACCAAATTCCATCCTGGGGCTATATTCCTCTTCATCTGTGAACTTCTGAAACCTAGAATACAAAGTATCTGCTTCCAGAGTACAATTGTGGGAGTGGCACAAGGTGGATATTTCCATTACAAATGGGAGAAATTGGAAAGGCAGAAAGAAAGAATAACTTATCCCAAGCAAGTAAAAGATCTTGACAGAGCAATTTATATTAGCTCTCAATAATTGAGAGTAGCCTTTGTCCCCTTAAACCATCTGGGAAATGACCTTGCCCTGCAGACTCTGGTGTCTCAAGATTTTGAGTGGAAGCCTCTTGACTTAGGTTTCAGCTCCACCTTTCGGCCCATGGCGATGGTAACTCGGCAGCCCCATTCTCTAAGTCAAACGGAGGGGTACCTCCAGTCCCTCAACTCCAGCCAGTCCCGTTTTTCTGCCACGTGTGCATGGCAGCCCCTACTTCGAGTTGTAGATCTGGCCCCATCCCTGAGCACCCATGAGTGGCATCTACTCTAGAACTGTGTGGGCGAAGGTCTGATACTTTGAAACCCAGAAGGCCATAGCACTGCACTTTGAGACCTCAGAGGTTTGGGTTTCTGCCTTTGAAACGGAGGCAGTGCAACCTCCCAGGCTCCTTGTCCTTTCAGTTTCTGCTTTCTAGTTTCTCAGAATCTCAGGCCTCTTGGGTTGGCCCAGCTTCATCCCTGCATTGGCAGGTGTCACAGAGCTCTATTTCTACAGCAGAGTGGCCAGAGGTGCCCCCACTCCTCCAGTAATCATGGACTTGAAGGCACTTGCTTCTCATGCTCCATGGATTGGCAAAGCTAGTTTTATGGACAAGTGCCCAGAGACAGCCCACTCTTCCAGGAAGCCTCCTGCCTGAGGCTCAAGGAAGCTTTTGCTCAGTGGGCCATCTCCCATGCTGCCTGGCACTAGTCTTTTGGTTCAGCTGCCATTGTTTCTTTGCCACTGCTTCTTACCATCTGTACCATCTGTGGTATTCCAGCCCTCTACATTTCCTTCTGCGCCCTTATCAGAATTGCCTTCCACAATCATAATTCTACCAATCGATTCTTCAAGGCAACCGAGGCTTTTACTATTAAGCACATTTTCCAATTCCAAAACTACTTCTACATTTTAGATGTTTATTAGAGCATTGCTCCACTGTTCTAATACCACATTTTTAGTTCTCTAGGGCTGCTATCAGAGAAATACCACAAGTGGATTGCTTTAGCAAACAAATTAATTACAGTGAACCCTCGTTTATCGCGGTTAATCGATTCTAGACCCTACCATGATAAATGAAATTCCGAGAAGTAGGATTCCTTATTTGTAAATCAAATATTTTCATAGTTATAGCATAGAGGACATGAAAAAACACCCTTTAGTCACCATTACACTCGTATTACCCAATTTATTAAACGAAAAAGGGAAAATACAGTAAAACATTTTGGACGTTACAATTATCATTTATTATTTATTATATTATTTATGGCATCAAGCGTGTACAGTATGAGCCAATCAGTGGCAGTAATGACAGAGCATGCGCTGTTACGCAAAAACAGCGATAGAGTGAAGCCGCGGAAGTCGAAGCGCGAAGTGGCGAGGGTTCACTGTATTTCACAATTGAGGAGGCTAAATCAGAATTCTAAGTGCCAGCTGTATGGAAAGGTTTCTTCTCATTTGACTCCGAGAGAAAGCCCTTATCTCTTTCCAGTATCTATGAGCCCAGAATCCCTTGGAAATCTCCATGTGTCTTGGCATCAATCTTCCCCTGGATCTAGGCGGTTCTAAGCACAGGGACCTCAGGTCCAAAGGACTTGCTCTGTTCAATGCTCTTATTTCTTGGTGGTAGTCAGATACCTCTCCATTTAGGGAGACTCCCCTTATCTGATTAGGCTGTGACCTGAGTAGGAAGGATGTCGTATTCTACCGAATCCCCTTACATTTGGTTGGCTGATCACATCACGAAGAATGCTTACATCATTGCAGAGCTGCTAAACCACTGAGGATCATAATCTAGCCAATTTGTCACATAATTGGGGGGAACATGATTCAGCCTATTATAGCCAGCGACTGGGGTTAGGCATCACTTCTGCCAGATAGACGTAGAAACTTCTCGCCTGTTGTAAGTGGTGCCAAAGGGGAGTTGGAATCCTATGGATTAAAATTGAAATCCGGACTGGAATAAAAAAAATTTGAAATCCATGGGACTGTTAATAACCTGGTCTCCTGGGGGCCACCTGAGAACCCAGGTCCCTAGGAAGAGCATTGTTTCCATGGAGACATGCATTCTGTGACCCAGGTTAAACATTTGCTAGTGTAGATCCCAGTGTGTGACCCAGTCAGGGATTGTATATTAGATTTTTTTTTAATGGAGTTCTCTTATAAACTGGCCTCATCCCGCACCTGCCTTCCTGACAACAAGAATGAGGGTGAGCCCTGTGGTCTGTGTCTGGGGGAAATGACATCGGCACTGGTGGGATTAGCCAGAGCCAGGCAGGAGCTCCTTCACCAACCGTTGCTCACTGGCATTTTCTTTCATTTCTTGAAACTGCACAGGGCGAGCCCTGCTGAGACTGACTGACAAAAAACTCGAGCGGATGGGGATTGGCCAGGAGAACCTCCGCCAGCACATCTTACAACAGGTGCTCCAGCTGAAGGTGCGAGAAGAAGTCAGAAACCTGCAGTTACTCACACAAGGTATCCCGCAGCTTCCTTGGGGGCAACAGAAGGGCCAATGGGAGGGAGGAAGGGCTGCCTCCCTGTCGTGACAGGGCAGTACTTGGGGGCATTTGATTGTGTTTCTCTGAGGTATTTCTTTGTATGTAAAAATGACCCCCCCAAAAGACAACATGCATACACAGTGGACCCATGAACAACACAAGAGTCTGAGGTGCCATCCTCCAGTGGAAAATCTGCATATAATTTACAATCGACCCTTGAGCAACTCCGGCTTGAATGACCCGGACCCACTTGTGAGCGGATCCCCCCACCCACTAAGGGGACCTCACAGTTCAAACCTACTATGTCGTGCAAGGGTCAACTGTTGTTCTAAAAGCCACTTCTCTTCCCTGACTTCTCATTTTCATAACAAACACGCACAGTGGCTGAGCAAACAGAATTGGGCGATCTTCAGCATGACCACATCCATCTAAACAGGTGGCCTACCGCACGCCCACGGAGATCACACAGCTCAGGACGCCATTGCACCAGAGCGTTGTCTTAGGAGCCCTGGTGGCGGAGTGGTTACACATTGTGCTGGGAACTGCAGGTCAGCAGTTCAAAACCACCAGTTGGTCAGAGAGAAAGACAAGGCTTTCTACTCCCATAAAGAGTTACCATCTCAGAAATCCACAGGGGCAGTTCTACCCTGTCCTAGCAGGTCGCTATGAGTCAGCATTGACTCAATGGCGGGGAATTTGGTTTTGACGTGAGAGTGTTACCTTGGCTACACAGTTGTACAGTTTGGCCCTAGCTGTCTTTGACCGTCAACTCTGAGTGCGTCGTGGAATTAGAAAGAGTCCATGGTTTATATGACCAATGATATAAATGGGGGTTTTACTGTATTTTATTTTGCTTGGTTTTTCGCTGGCTACTGGAAGAAAAAGATGTATCAGTATAGTGAGAAGCCTGTTTAGCCTTTTGCTAATGAAATCAAAACTTTCAAATAGACCAAAAGAAAGTTAAGATTGGAGTGTCAAGACCGTCTACTTCTTGAAAGGAATGAGGCAGCATTACAGTTACTTGTACCTGTGGGAATGACAGGTGAAACCTGCAGATGGAAGGGCACCTTACGTAACACTGTGACACGTGTGTGTCTATCTCAAATTCAGTTGATATGAACCACCATTGGCCATAATCATTGTACATCGTTTGAAATGAAGGGATGATAAAATATGTGTTTTTGAGTGCCCTGGGTGGTTTTTCAATGTGCAGAATATTGTAATTGCATGCATACTGATATTGCAGAAATCTGGGTCAGCCAAGTTTCATGTTATTGCATTTAGATCAACCCAGTAATAGTCCATTTGCCTTGAGGAAGTAATATACTTCCTGAAATATGACTGTTCTAGAAGGATAAATATAGAATCTGGGTGATAGGAAAATAGTTTTGTTTATTTGCTATGCATTCTTTGTGTTTTGTCTCCCAAGACTCCTTGGTAAATTTATAGGTACTGTTTCAACTGAGTGATTTACATTTGAACTTGACATACTGAAATACTTTTTAAGTTTCCTTTAAATAGTACATAGAAATTCAAAGATTTATGAAAAGAAAGGCTATCTCAGTGCTATTTATCATACTGAAATATTAGAAACAACCTAGAGGTTGGGCATATGTAAGAAATCAAATCATTATGCTTAAGTTCATAGGACACAATAAAATGCTGCCATTGAAATGACAGTGGTAAGTCTTGCATGACCACATGGTGAAGTAATATGAAGAGGAGGAACATTTTACTTATGAGATCAGCCCAGTTTTATAGAAAGTGTGTGTGTGTGTGTGTGTGTGTGTGTGTGTGTAAAGCTGAAAGTGAATATGACAATATTTTAATAATGGTCCTCCCTGGGTGGTGGGCTTATAGGTGAGTTCACTTTGCATTTTCCTATGGTTTCTAAATGTTCTTTTATAAATCCGCCTTGTGGTTATAATCAGAAAGTATCCACAAGCACGTTTCTGCATGCTTCGGTCACAACCGACATGCTGCCCAGGATCGGGTCAGTGGCTGAGCTTTCTCCACAGCCTCAGTTTTCCTTCTAGGAAGATGGTCCATAGAATGAGACCTAACGTCGCTGTGCTGTGTGTGCCTCCGACTCTCTGCCACTGCCAGCCTGCAGTGTTTGCTTTGCGAAATCATTTTCCACAGCTGTCATTGCCCTAGATGCATACTCTATCAGATCTTTTTCCCTGAGATAGTACTCAAGTCTATTAAGCTAAATGTATGTTTGTGTTCTGGGGAGGCAATGCCAAGCACAGCCTTTTCAATTCAGTTGTTGTCACTTGCTTTAGCTCTGAAAAGCTGTGCATTTTGAATTCTTTCTTTCCATTCATCTTGGAAGAGCTCTCTGGTCGCTTTCCCTTGGATATTTTACCTGTAGTCGTGTTACTTTCTGTTATTGTGTGGCCTTTACTTGTGAATCCTCAGATTTATTTCATGCCAGGTATATTTTTTTTTAAAAGAAAATCCCAGCACCTTATCCAAGGAATGGTTTTCTTTAAATAACAAGATGAAATGAAAATTGGCAAGGTGTTGATGTGTCTGATAACAGAAATTCTAATGTAGCTTTAAAACCTTGGGGGCGTCTCAGTTTGCTGTCATTGGAATTGGAGGTTCATTTCCCCAAGTAACCATCACATTACATGGAAATCCACCCTAGGGGTGAGATATGAGTCAGGATTGAATCTTTGACTCCTGAAACAGCAGATAGACTGTGCTGAATAAGTACAGGCACAGGTTTCAGAATGTTACTTTCTTTTTGGAAATCCCTGGGCCTCCTAGTTGACAAGTGTGAATCGCATATTCAGCCTGTGAAACCCACGTGGGGACTGTGACCCTGCTGGAATGCAATTAGTATTTTTGTTGCTGGTGGTGGGATTTTTAATAAATATTGACCAAATGACACAGTTCAGTGAAAGATATCTCTTTCAAGGGCCTTGAGAAAGGGCTTTATTTTGGGAAGGATGAAATTTCTTATGAGTTTCCTAGGTGGACTTCTGAGACATTTTCAAAGCATAAGCTTCGGTGTTTGGATAGCTAAAGTAGGAGAAGTGCCCAGCTCTGGGGCCCAGCTAAATAATTTTGTGTAAATCCTGGACTACTCTGTACCTATTAAGAAGTAATAAAGAACACTAATATAGAAGGATCTCTGGGATATGACAATACGTAAAAAAACCAGGTGCAGAATGATATATATAGCATGCTAGATTTTAAATATGAAAGCGAGAGATTACCATGTATATCCACATGTGCTTTATTTACACAAGGAAATGCTGAATGACGCAACAGAAGTTAATTCAAGCTGCCTTCTGTGGGACAGGAAAGGTGGACTGAGGCAGGATATATGTCGTTTATGTCACATTGTGTTGGAAATACGAAGTATTTACTATTTGAAAGATATATTCACGATTTAAAAGAATATTGTTTTTCTTTAAGAAACAGAAAGGAGAGCAAATGGCTTTTCATATCGGACTGGCCTCACTTTAAATTCTGACCCCAGCGCTTACTGCTGTGTTACTTGAGGCCAGTTCCTTAACCTCTCTGTGCTCCAATTTCATAATCGCTGCTGCTGTACTCGCCTCACAGGGATGTTGTAAGGCTAGTGTGAGGATTGAGTGAGCTGAAATGTAGAAGGGAGCTTCAAAAAGTTCGTGTACAAATGGAATTAAGAGATAATGGAAGCCATGATTAGGTTAAAAAGTAATAAGTTATCATTTGATCTCCCTGTTGGCCCATTTTTGTTATTCCAGTTTTTAATATTTTTTGCTTTCTTTTCAATTAAGGTTTTTCTGTTTTTGTCTAGGCATTGTTGTTGTTTTTTATTTGTCTGTTTGCTTCCTGTTTGTGGCTT